CTTAGTGTTTCTTGGAAGGGCTCTAGCTGGTCGAGTATTTTGGGCACTAGCAAATTATCCCATTTGTCCCTCTAAATTTCTCTTGCTGCTGCTTGGGCCTTCTGGTCAGCCATCAATTTCTTCATCATTTCCTCAAGATGACTTGTTGAGTTTGCCTGTTGTTCAGCCTGAAGTGGTCTATATTCTTATCAAGGTGCGTGTGGTCGGTATTGATTCTTAGCACCTTTATTACCACCCCAATAGAAGTTTGGATGGTTCCTCCAGTTGGGGTTGTAAGTGTTACCATACTGGTTTGTCTGGCCCCTATTTGCATTACCCACAAAGCAGACATACTCTAGATTAACTAGGCATAAGTTGCTCGTATGACCCTCTCCACATACCTCACAAAACAGTTGAACTTGTTTGCACTGGTTAAGCTTGTTGCTTGTTAATAACCATGGTCATCTGATTGACTCGATTGGTTAGGTGGAAATCTGCGTTGATAATGCCGAAACAACATCTAATTCGAGAACCCCTGCAGATTTTTGCAATGTGTGTCTGCCCATATCTCCTTGCCAATCCGGATCACTTTTGGAGAATTTGTTAAATAATGCATATATTTCATCAAAGCTTTTCTCCAACACTTGACCTCCCACTGCAGCATTTACCACAATCTTTGTCTTAGGATGTAGCCGTTTTATGAAAGTGTGAGCTAACACTTCATTTGTCTGATTATGATGAGTACAGTCTCTGAGTAGCCCCTTGAACCTCTCCCAAGCTGAGTATAAAGACTCCCCCGGTTTTTGTTTGAAGGCGATTATCATACTTCTGATCATTACAGTTTTGCCTGAAGGGAAGAACCTTGCCAAAAATTTCCTTGCTAGATCATTCCATGATGTAATAGAATTAGCTAGTTCTACCTTCAGCTATCGCTTTGCTTCGCCCAATAGAGAGAACGGGAAAAGTGTGAGCCTCACATAGTCTGGAGTGACTCCATTAGTGATATAAGTATCACTAATCTCCAAGAAATTTAGGATATGCTGTTGTGGATCCTCGTGTGGAAGACCCATAAACTGCCCATTCGCATGAAGTAGTTGGATCATGCTCTATTTCCACTCAAAATTGCCAGTGATTTTGGGCTTCACAATGCTGGAGGTGACATTAGCAATACTGGGCATCACTACCTCCTGAACAGCCATATGTTGCTCCTCTACCATGTTCACATGAAATTGAACAAGTGCCTGAAGATTGTTTGTATCCTTTGCTTCCCTCAACCTCTTATGGAATGTTCTCTCAGGTTCGGGTTCAAAGCCTTGAAGTCTGTCCTGACTTCTAACTCTACGCATTTAAGCTAAGTTCCTGAGATCAAAGCAACAATCAAGTAACGTTAGACTTGACGAAATAAACAATTAAAGCAAAAACTAGAAAGTAGTCAATATTCAAGTCCCCGACAACGGCGCCAAAAACTTGTTGGTCCCAAATGCACAAGCAATTATACATAGTCGTACAAGTAATAAAATTATAAGTCAAGTGTCGAACCCACAAAGACTTGTATCAACTACCCACTAAATTCACCAAGATTGCTATTCAGTCGAGCCAATTCGAGTTCAAGAGTGTAATTATACTAAATAATAATTCTAGGTAGTAACTAAATTATCATGCAGTAAAATAGTTGTTATATATTCAGTAGAGACAAATATTCCAGGGTTGTGATCGACTCACCAATCCTATTATGTTCTAGTTAACTCTCCCTTTCATACAATTCACTCATGGTTGTTAATTAATCGAAAATTGCTCTCATAGCCTTCTCCCGAATTACTACTCGCCTATTCAAAATAGATTAACGCCTATATTCCTATGAAATCAATCTATTAAGAACGCATTAAGATTACGATATTTAATTAAGCACGGTGACTAGGTATATTTCTATCCTAACCACAAATCCGCCCCCCTCAGAGTTAAGATCGTGCTCTCTTCAATTATTCTCTAATCTAAACATGGCTTTCCCAAGCATAGCATAAATAATAAATAGAACCTAACTGCTGGCCAGACAATTAAGTAATTAATCACAGAATTGAAGAAACAACCATATATTAATGAATTATAATCAAGGTTAAGTCAATGTTAAACAACAATATTCATGGCTAAATTACAACCCCAGAACTATGGGTTTTAGCCAGTCATGATAGTATCAAACAAATTCATAGGTGTTGGATAATTGAAAATACTAAGAAAAGATGAAGAAAACTGAGATCTCTTCGCTCCCGAATGTTTCTCGTGTGTGTTCTCCCTTCAAAGTGGCATCCCCTCTCTAAAAATAGGCTTAGTCTTGCTTTTATACTCGTTGGGTAGGTCTAGGACCGAAATAACCTTGTCCCGAGCAAAGTTGGACAAAAATCCGTCACCAGCGTCCAACCCAGTGCTAGGTGCCGGCCCTGGCACTGTTAAATTGAACACATTGTCTGGGGCGCCACAGGTAGCTGGGACGCTGAAAATCCCACTTTTCTTTTTTTCGTCCGTTTTGGCTCTAATCTCGCACCTTTTGCCCCCAATTGCTTTCGGATCATTCCTACACATAAAAACACCTTGAATTAATATAAATCAACATATTTTACATCCTTAATCCACGAAACAAGAGTAAAACTTAAGGCGATATACATATAAATATATATATTTTAAGCTAAGATCACCAACGTTTAGTAATTTAGAATTACTTTTGATGCTATCATTTAAAATTAAAAGCATTAAAATTGTAGAAGTAACTTTCGGAACGAATATACTTAGTTAAGTATGAAAAATGTAAGGACATTAGTTAAGAATATGAAGAGTTATCAGGATTTGCTGATTAATCCCAGCCATATATATTGAGCTTTTCTCCACACTTGCTTGCAATCCTGATGCTTTTGAGAACTTGTCAAAAACATTTTGTATTGCTTGAATAGATTTTGTGTCTCCCCTGCAAAACATTAAAAGATCGTCAGCAAAACATATATGTTTTACTCCCAGTTTCTTGCATTTAGGATGGTATTTGAACTCCTTCTGCTTTTTCAAAGTATTCATCTCCCTCTGCAAGTACTCCATTGAAATTACAAATAGGTAAGGAGACATATGGTCTCCTTGCCTTATCCCTCTCCTAGCAGGAAAAGGTTTTATGAGTCCACCATTGAGTGTCAATGAATATGACATTGTTGTCATATACTCCATAATCCAGCCAATGCACTTGTAAGGAAATCCTAGCTCTGTAAGCATCTGCTTTAAAAACTGCCAGTCAAGTGAGTCATATGCTTTCTTGAGGTAAACTTTGAGGATGCACCTTGGTGATACTCCTTTCCTGTTGTACCCATTGAATAGTTCATGACTAAATAGCACATTATCCACTATGTTCCTCCCCTCTATAAATGCTGATTGTGCTTTCCCAATGAGACTGTCAATCACCTTCTTTATCCTTTTTGTAAGAATCTTTGCAATAACTTTATACACTGTAGTACAACAAGCTATTGGCCTATAGTCCTTCACTGTTGTGGGAGTTGAACCTTTGGGAATCAGTGTTATTGCAGTGCAATTCCAAGCTTTCTGCATTTTACTTGTTCTGAAGAAGTAGTCCACTGCCTCATATACATCATTTCTGACTTCTTGCCAATGTAGCTTAAAAAATTCAACTGAAAATCCATCCACTCCTGGTGCTTTGTCATTTGGCATATCCTTGATTGCTTCATCTATTTCCTCATGTGTTACTTCCTTGATTAACTCCACCTGTTGGTTCATTGACAAACACACTCCTTCTTTGATGATCTCTGCATTTGGGCAAGGTTTGAGCCCGGTGTTTGTCCCCATGAGCTGCTTGAAGAATTCAACAAATTCCTTCTCTATTTCTATTGGTTCTGTGACTCTTATCCCTCCTACATTGTATACAGAAGATATAGCATTCCTACTTGCTCTCATCTTCAATTGAGCATAGAAATACTTTGAGTTTGAGTCTCCACAATCTATCCAATTTACTCTCGACCTTTGCCTCAATATCTTTTCCTCAACTGTGCTCCACTTTTCTTCCTCAATCAAGACTTGACATAATGGATTTATCTTCAGACTCTTCTGAACATATTCTAATTATTGTCTTGTTTGATTCGGCCTTCTTTCATAGCTCATCATTTCCTTGTTCAAATCTTTTGACTTCATCTTCAAATCCTGTAGTTTCCTCCATATTCTTTCCATGGGGTCACAATTCTTTCTCTGCTTCCATACATCCACAACCATAGGTTTGAACTCTCTATGCTCCATTGTTACCATGTACATTTTAAAAGGTCTGTTATACATATTCTGCCTTTGTCATATCTGGATCACTATAGGGGAATGATCAGATATTCCAGGTTCCAAACAATCAGCTTCCACATGTCCATAGTCTCTGATCCACTCAAAGTTTCCAAGCACCCAATCTATTCTGCTGTATACTCTATCAGTTGCTTGTTGTTTGTTGCACCAAGTGTAAAAACAGCCTTTTGTCTTCACAGGAGATAGTTGCAGTATATCAATACATTCTTTAAAATCTTTTATCTCATTCATAGTGACTGGTTGGCCTAGTCTATTATCTGAACATAGCACAATATTAAAATCACCATTTATGATCCATGGCATTTGAATCACACCCCCCATTGCTTCCAGTTCTTTCCATAATCTAGTTCTCTCTTGAGCTTTGTTCCTAGCATATACCACTGACAGCATGATCTGCCTTCCATTTGTTGCATCAGTTACCTTACAGTGGATACATTGCTCATGAACTTGCACTACATCCACTGATAGGTTTTGTTTCCAAATCACCCATATTCTACCATTTTCTGCCTGCTCATAATTGCATCTGTATCCCCAGTCCTTTGCTATTTTGTACAGAATTTTTTTTGACTTTTTTTCTTTAACTCTAGTTTTCAGACATCCTAAGACATCAATCTTATTCTTTTGCAAGAAGATTCTCAGCTCTTTTTGCTTATGGGGCTTGTTAAGCCCTCTTATATTCCATGTGCTTATTATCATGGTGGTTGTTGTACCCTCTCCTGCACCATTCCTCCTCCCTGCTCATCTTCATGTGACATTTTTTTCAGCACTGCAAATCTATTTTCTTCTTCACTTTTTCTCTGGTTGCTCAGGGAGTAAGCCTGTTTTTCATTTTCCTTTGTATTTATTACCTTTTTTCCTCTTTGGTCTGCTAGACTGTGATGTGGTTGCTTTTCATTCTCCACCTGCTCCTGTACCACATTGGCCATTTCATTTGTCTCCTCTTGTGCTTGTTGTTCTTTTGGTTTCCACTCTTGTATGATTCTGTTCCTTCTTCCTCTACTTCTTCTTCTAGGCAATTGGAATTCTTCATTCTCCTCTTTCTTATTCGTCTTCCAGCATTCAATCAATTCATGCCCAAAGTGCAAGCACTCAGAGCAAAATTTTGGCCTCCATTCATACACTATTTCCTGCTGCTTCACACAAGTTGGAGTAATGATTTCAACTGTCTCCACCAAGGGTTTTGTAATGTCCACTTTCACAAGTATTCTTGCAAAAGAAATCTTCCCTAATTCAGCTGTGTATCTGTCTGTATACATAGGCATTCCCACAGCACTTGCCACCTTACTTAATGCATCTGCTGTCCAGTATCCAACTGATAAGTTAGGCAATTGTATCCACAATGGTATAGTCGTAATACACTTAGGATCAAAGTGAAAATCTCTTTCCCAGTTTTGCAAAATCAGTGGTTTATTATGATAGGTATATGGCCCTGCCTGCATTACAGCTTCCTTATCCTCCCTTTTCCCAAATATGAAGACATAATATCACTCTTGATGATATAATACTTGAGGTTTATCTACAAAGTCCCAGATTGTTTCAATGTAATTTATCATCGATTTCTCATATGGTGTATCCCCAAGTACATACCCAATTACAACATTGTCCCAATACTCATTTAACTCATTGATGATAGGCTATAATTACGTATTTTAGTCGCTTATTACACTCTAATTTACTGCACTTTAATTGAGTTTGCGCTTTAATCGCTAGTGTTTTGCACTAATTGTGTGTTTTATGCCTTGTAGGAGTGATTTCGAGCTTTATAGATGTTGTGGAATGAATTTAAGTGATTTGAAGCTTTGAAGTCTGAGTAAAAGCTCAAGGAATTAAGCCGGGATCGTGTTCGGGGGTCAAATTTGATAGTTGAGAACAAACGAAGACTCGATGAGGCATATTGCGCACTGTCTAGTAAAATAGACATAACTTTTTGCTCAGAAGTTCATTTGGGCTCCACAATATATGGTTGGAAAGCTAACTCAAAGGAATACAACTTTAATGTTTTACGTTTTTCCAAATTCCAGATGAAACAGGGTGAAAAACGCGGTAGAAACCGCGACCGCGGAACTGACCGCGGCAGAAAATCAGAGAGCTTGTCTGGCCGCGGTCCTACCGCGTTTTGGCTGCGGCCGCGCCGCTCCAGGCGTCAAAAAGAAGTCCTATTTCGTCCGGGACAAGGTTATTTCGGACCTACACTATTCCAACTTGTATAAAAGGGGTCCTAAACTTATTTTGAAGAGAGGGGACATATTTTTGACACATATTTTGACCTAAGGAGGCAGAGACACAATAAGAGCAAGGCGGGGAATTCTTCAACAAGTTTTTTCCTTCCTCTTCTTATTTTTCATTGTTGGTTATGACTTTTGATATTATAGTTTTACATACTATTATGAATAGCTAATTTATTATCTAAGGTTTTGGTGAAACCCGTTGGGGATGAATTGATTGTTATATTTATATAGATTTGAATTAGTTTAATCTCTATTTGTTCAACTATGTTTTGATTGTGGTTAATTGAAAGGATCCTCAATTAGCCGTTCCTATTTATTATGTATCTGCTTGAGAGAGAGTGCATATTTAGGTAGTTGTTTGAACGACATCACTCCCGGAGTATAGGCGAGAGTCATAACCGAGGGTTTAGAGGTTGGATTAGAGATAACGATACCTCGGGTGCGATCTAAGTGAACTGTAATGCGAATCTAGCTAGCGTAGCTTGAGAGAGTGCGTCTAGTAAATTATCATAATTGCTTGAGAGAGATTTATGATAGCTGGAGAGTTCATGATTGATAGAGGCAACTAAGTCAACGCTATAAGATACATACAACCAAGGAAATCAACAACGGGGGAAACCATTACCTTAGACCTTTATTCTAATTGTTTACAATTCAAGCATAGTTAGTTTTCAGTTGTTTATTTATTTTCAATCTTGTCTTCTTGGTGATATTAAACAGATACAGCTAATCCTTAGTTCTCTGTGGGATTCGACTCCGGACTTTTAGACCGGATTATATTTGCAGCGACCGCTCATCCTTTTTAGGACTAGAGTTGGGCGTGATCAAATTTTGGCGCCGTTGACTTTTCATGCTACTTTAGCTGTATTAGTTTAATTAAATAATATATATATTTTTTTAAAAGATTGGACTTTTCCCGACGATGGATCTATTAGACAATTTTCTTGAGGGATTTAAGTCTAAAGAAAGAAAAAAAGATTTTCTTTGTAGGTAGTGTAATAATTCCCCCTTGATTTTTCTTTGTGCCGCGGTTCTTTTCCAAGGGTTTTATTTGAACCGGGTGTAGTTATTTTTATTTTTGGGAGTAGGAGCCATTGTGTTGTATTTTGAATTGAAGCAATATCTCTTGACTTTGTTATGCTTTGAGAATAGTGAGTACTTTGGTTGTGACGCTTAGGCTCAGTTTTTGACTCTTGTATAAGTACCTTAAATTGTATGATCTTAACTTTGCTTAACTGCTTTGACTAGAGTGTCTTGATGAAACCAATCCTGAGTGAGTTATGTGCCATGTGTGTGTGAGGTTTGGGTGTTATTCTGTGCATTGCATTTGATGCCTAGAACTTGCCCCGTGTGTTTGCAAAGCGAAATAGTAGTTTTGTTCAGTCTTGGAAGTGATATAGGCATTTCTTTGTTGAGCCAGATATGTATATTTTACCCACCTAATTGTTATGTATCGTAGTTAACCTCTTTGAGCCTATAATCCTTTTTCTTTGGCAACCACATTACAAGCCTTACCCATTTGTTTGAATTAACCATCTATTTGAACCTTTTCACCTCTCATGAGCACTTGATCTGTTATGAACTTTCTAAAAGTTAAAGTGTGGGGTGGTTGGGTTGGCTTTTGAGTGGAACTAATTGAATAAGGAGAAAGGTGCACTGTTTTGAAAAAGGAAGAGCCACTTGAATTGAGAAAAAATATAGTTGGATTGTTGTGAAAAAAAAATTCCTTGATAAGTGGTGGCTCTTGACGTAAGTGTGCTTAAAGAAGAATGGGGTAATTTACATTGATGTGAAGGTGGAATTTTGGTTTGACATAAGTATGGGGTTTAAATGTTAAAATGTATGTATTAAAGTGCTTAGGGAGGTGTAGTCACTCTTATATCTAAATATATCCTACCTGTCCCGTAGCCTACATTACAACCAAATAAAGTCCTAATTGATCCTAGATTGAATGAGCTCGATTAGTGGAGTAGTACACTACGGGCAAGCTTATGGTGCATCTTTTGTGGCATATGAATGTTATTTCTGAGAGTGAGTGAATTCTTTCTATCTTGAGTTCCTAAGTGTTCTTAAATTTTATTTTGTGGAACTACTCTCTTTTGTTGTGTGAGGGCACTTGATTCATGAAGGAAAGGTAATGTCAGTGACCTCTATATTAGAGTAAGTGGGTGAGTTGTGAATAACGTGTGGTACTTGTGAGTCAAATCTTGAGGTGAAGATGTTACGCTTTTGTGCTTAGTCTATTTTAAATACTCTTGGTGTGATGAGTTCGGAGAATTGTTTAAAAAGGTCGTGTCTATAAAAAAAGTGTAGTTTGATTGCTCGAGGACGAGCAATGGTTTAAGTGTGGGGTGTTGATGATAGGCTATAATTACGTATTTTAGTCGCTTATTACACTATAATTTACTACACTTTAATTGAGTTTGCGCTTTAATCGCTAGTGTTTTGCACTAATTGTGTGTTTTATACCTTGTAAGAGTGATTCCGAGCTATATAGATGTTATGGAATAAATTTAAGTGATTTGAAGCTTTGAAGTCTGATTAAAAGCTCAAGGAATTAAGCCGGGATCGTGTTCGGGGGTCAAAATTGATAGTTGAGAACAAACGAAGACTCGATGAGGCATATTGCGCACTGTCTAGTAAAATAGACATAACTTTTTGCTCAGAAGTCCATTTGGGCTCCACAATATATGGTTGGAAAGCTAACTCAAAGGGATACAACTTTAGTGTTTTATGTTTTTCCAAATTCCAAAGAAACAGGGTGAAAAACGCGGTAGAAACCGCGGCCGCGGAAGAAAATCAGAGAGCTTGTCTGGCTGTGGTCCTACCGCGTTTTGGCCGCGGCCGCACCGCTTCAGGCGTCAAAAAGAAGTCCTATTTCGTCCGGGACAAGGTTATTTCGGCCCTACACTATTCCAACTTGTACAAAAGGGGTCCTAAACCTATTTTGAAGAGAGGGGACATATTTTTGACACATATTTTGACCTAAGGAGGCAGAGACACAATAAGAGCAAGGCGGGGAATTCTTTAACAAGTTTTTTCCTTCCTCTTCTTATTTTTCATTGTTGGTTATGACTTTTGATATTATAGTTTTACATACTATTATGAATAGCTAATTTATTATCTAAGGTTTTGGTGAAACCCGTTGGGGATGAATTGATTGTTATATTAATATAGATTTGAATTAGTTTAATCTCTATTTGTTCAACAATGTTCTGATTGTGGTTAATTGAAAGGATCCTCAATTAGCCGTTCCTATTTATTATGTATCTGCTTGAGAGAGAGTGCATATTTAGGTAGTTGTTTGAACAACATCACTCCCGGAGTATACGCGAGAGTCATAACCGAGGGTTTAGAGGTTGGATTAGAGATAACAATACCTCGGGTGCGATCTAAGTGAACTGTAATGCGAATCTAGCTAGCGTAGCTTGAGAGAGTGCGTCTAGTAAATTATCATAATTGCTTGAGAGAGATTTATGATAGCTGGAGAGTTCATGATTGATAGAGGCAACTAAGTCAACGCTATAAGATACATACAACCAAGGAAATCAACAACGGGGGAAACCATTACCTTAGACCTTTATTCTAATTGTTTACAATTCAAGCATAGTTAGTTTTCAGCTGTTTATTTATTTTCAATCTTGTCTTCTTGGTGATATTAAACAGATACAGCTAAGCCTTAGTTCTCTGTGGGATTCGACTCCGGACTTTTAGACCGGATTATATTTGTAGCGACCACTTATCCTTTTTAGGACTAGAGTTGGGCGTGATCACTCATTCACATCTTCTTCTTCAATTTGTATTACTAGCTTACCTTCTCTATGGCTCGGTGGTATATACTCCAACTTCAGCCCTATTTGTGATTTCCTATTCTGCATTCGTACATCTTTTGCATGTTCCATTCTTTCCTTCATCTTCTCTGCATTTCCCAGATCTAGATCTACACTTGATGACCCAGCTTCTGAGAATTGAAGCCGCTTAGGACTCGTAGGTAGATGGTCCTTGCTCATCACAACTTCACTCACATTTTTTCCAGAATCACTCTTCCATTGCTTACTGTTCATACCCTCTTTCTCATCTAGTTTAGTCTCCTCTGCAATTGGCTGGAAACCAGTTGGCAAGAAGCTCCCAAACGTTAACAGAGTAAGGGTTGTTGTCCCTGATGTCACCGATGTGACAGTCGCCGGCATAGCTTGTCTTCTCTTCCTTGC